CATGATACTGGCCACTGTTGCTGTTGCTGCTGCTGCTGTTAAAAGCACTGGATTGTAAATCAAGAATTTCCAGCTTTGCTTCTGGCTTTGCTTCTAGACTCCCCTGTGTAGATATGGACAAGCAACTAAACCTCTAAATCTCAGGTTACTCATCTATAAAGAGGGAATCATCACAATCTGTCACCATGAAGCCTAGATTCTTTTTTTTTTTTAAGCCTAGATTCTTGATCATTTGATCACAGGCAAGGTTCCTCTCTGGGTCTGTTTCACCAGCTGCACACCAATGGGAATGTCCTGGAGATTTTTTTACAAAGCCCCAATGCTCTGATTTTTTTAATGCTGATACTGAGGTTGAACTCATGAGAGCCTGTGCTCTCACTTGCCTTTTTTTCCTCAAGCTAGTGCTCTACCACTTGAGCCACATTCCCTACTTCTGGCTTTTTCCTGGTTAACTGGAGGTAAGAGTCTGACAGACTTTTTCTGCCTCAGCTGATTTCTAATCAGATCTCAGCCTCCTCCAATTAACTAGTAAAAAGCCAGAGGTGGAACTGTGGTTCAGGTGGTAGAGCAGTAGATTTGAATAAAAAAAGCTAAGGAACAGTGCCCAGGCTCTGGGTTCAAGCTCAAGTACCAACAAAATATATATGTACATATATTTTATATATGCATATATATAATTCAAGAGGGAAAAATAAGAACTATGAGCACTAATATTTTTCAATGTGGTATCCTTTATAATAACAGAAATCTGGAAACACACAGTCCTGCAAGCCTAGCTTGCAGAAGCTAGGATACAGGTACGCTAACAGGTATAACAGATATTCTAAGTGGCAGACCAGAGGTACCTTGGAATGACAGCTGGCACTTACAGAGTGCTTGCCATGGGTTCAACCCTGTATTTCATGTGCTCTTAATGCATGTGACTGCCTAAGACATGGGAAGGGCCTGAGGTTGAGGCTCCACACCTCTCTCTTATACATAAACCCACTCCCTAAAAACCTAGGGACCAAATCAAATCAGGGATCTTCAACTTCAGCACCACTGCCATTTTGCACTAGATAATTCTTTGTGATGAGGGACTGTCTGCGCCATGTGGAGGTATATCAGTCCCCTGGCTTCCACCCCTTAGATACCAGCAGCAGCCACTAAGGCCCAATTGTAACAACCATTATGTCTCCAGACACTGCAAAAAGTGTCTTAGCAAATAAAATTGCCCTGTGATGAACCACTAGCATGAAAGATCTCCCCCAATCTTCCAGCTTTAAATGCCATCCACCCATCTCCATACTGACGCCTCTGAGATTTATACCTGCAGCCAACTCTTCCCAGAAGCCCACTGTCATATATCCACCTGTCTGATGGATAGCGCCACCTGTGTGTCTAATGGTATCTCAGAGTCAACATCTCCAGTGCAACGCTCCTGATCTATGACACCCGTCACACCACCTCCTACATAGTCTGCTCCTTGGCAGTAAGTGACAGTTCTGTCCTACCAGCTGCTCAAGCAAAACACCTTGGAGCATCCTGGACTTGTCGCTATTTCTCACTTCCTTATCCACGGTCAATTCATCAGCAAATGCCGGAGGCTCTAGCTTTGAAACAAACCAGAACACAAGCAACTTTTCACCACTGCTGACTGTCACTTGCACTCTTCTCTCAGCTGCCATCTCCAAGACAGATCACTGCAGGAGCCTCCTCCCTGGTGTCCCTCCAGTACCTCTGCCCTGCTAGAGTGTATTGTCCACAAAAGGGCCCAGGTGGACCTTCTGAACACAAGTAGCCTGTGTCCACTCCTGCTCTCCAGACCCCACCATGGCTTCCAGCTCACTTGCCCGAGTCCTACAGCCCCAGCCTCACTTCAAGGTCCCTTTCTGCAATCTCCCCTCAGTTATGAAAGCCAATTATCTGTAGTTCTGGTTAGAACCTGATGCTCTAGCCTCCAAGTCTTTGCACTCCCTCCCTCAGCACTTCCTGCATACTCACAAATACACACAAATGAACACATGCATGTGTACACACACACACACACACACACACACACACACACACACACACACACACACGACCTGGCTCTGTCCCTCACCTCCTTCACATCTCTGTTTAAATGTCAACTTCTTAGTAAGCCAGTCCCTTCAGCCTTTTTCAAAGAACAGCCCTCCATTCCCCTCCCGACCTTCCTGTACCCTTCCTGGAGTACTGGGCACTTCATGCCCCTTGTTCATTTATCTATCCTCTGTCTCCTCTGCCAGCATGTGCACTCCTAGCGATATCGTGAGGACCTTACTGGCTTGTGGCTTTTGTTCCCATGTCACTCACAACACCCTAACAGCTGCAACAGTACCCAGCACAGAACAGGTGCTCAGTACACTGAGCTGCAGGATTCTTCAAACTAACACACTGTGGGTTATAATAAGATTCTTATTATTTCCATTTTATAAACTAAAGTTCAGAGGGGTGCAGTAATATGATCTAGACCCTTCTGTCAGAAGGCAATCCCCATAGGGATGCTGTGACCCACCTCCCAAAGGTCTCCCAAAGCCTGGCATAGAAAGGGATTTTAGATAGTTCTAAAATCCAGACCTCCCAGAATTAAAAATAAATTAAACAAATTAAAAATAATGACAACATTCAATGCTGGCAGGGATAAAGAAAACTACATGGCCCATACATTGAGGTGAACATGTAAAATAATACATAAAGTCACTCTACAGTTTCTGATTTAAAAAGAAGTGAAACATGAAATTATCATACAATTCATCAATAGCACAATTGGTTATTTTTCTCAGAAAAATGAAAAATTAACATTCATGCAAAAACCTATACATAAATACTCCTAGGCTTTACTTATATTGGCCAAAAACCAGAACCTTTCCAGATATCCCTCAACAGATGAATAGTGAAACCAACTGTGGTACCTGCATTGGAATACTACTCAGCAATCACAAAGGAATGAGAAGATATGTAAATGACCAGTAAGGATATGAAAAAATGTTCTATACTATAGCTCTCAGAGAATTGCAAGTCAAAAACACAATGAGGCCTGCCTCAGTAGCTCACGCCTGTAATACTAGCTACTCAGGAGGCATCGTTCAAGGCCAGCTTGGGCAAAAGGCTAGTGAGACCCTCATTTCAACAAATAATTTAGACATGGTAAAGCAGGTCTGTGATCCCAACTATGGGAAGGTATAGTTAAAAGGATACTGGCTTGCAGTCAGCCTCTGGTTTAAAAAGAAAGTCTCAAGACCATCTCTAAAAAAAAATTAAAGAGCTGGGCACTGGTGGCTCATGCCTATAATCCTACGTACTCAGGAGGCTGAGATCTGAGGATCGTGGTTCAAAGCCAACTTGGGCAGGAAAGTCTGTGAGGCTCTTACCTCCAATTAACCACCAGAAAACCAGAAGTGGCGCTATAGCTCAAGTGCAAGCCTTGAGCTGTAAAGCTGAGGGACAGTGCTCAGGCCCAAAGTTCAAGCCCCACGACCGGCCAAAAAAAAAAAAAAATTAACCACCAGAAAACCAGAAGTGGAGCTGTGGTTCCAAATGGTAGAGCGTTAGCCTTGAGCAAAAGAGCTCTGGGACACATGCAGGCCCTGAGTTCAAGACCTACAACTGACAAAAATAAATAATTAATTAAAGCAGGCCGGGCTCCAGTGGCTCACACTTGTAATCCTAGCTACTCAGGAGACTAAGATCTGAGGATCACAGTTCGAGTCTCTATGAGACTCTTATATCCACTTTACCTCTCAAAAGCCAGAAGTAGAGCTCAAAGTAGTAGAGTGCTAGCTTTGAACAAAAGAGCTCAGGGACAGTGCCCAGGCCCTGAGTTCCTGCCCCACAACTGACAAAAAAATAAAGCAGAAGGGCAAATGGCCATAATAGAGTGCCTGCCTAGCAAGTATGATAAACTATATAGAAGTAAACATAACACACAGAGGTACAAAATATGCACAAGCAAAACTGGGTCAGTCTAAATGAAATCTGTTTTATCAATGTCAATATATTCAGCATACTATACTATAAAGTTTTTCAAAATGATGCCATTTCAGAAAGCAGAGTAAAGAGTGTAAAGAATAGGGCTGGAGGGGTAGCTCAGTAGTAAAACCCTGCCTAGTGAGTGTAAGCTCCCCAGTTCACCAAAAGAAAAGAGTAATCTCTGCACTTTTCTTACAACTCCATGTGGAACATGCCAATTAAAAACAAAACTTACAGAGACCACAAAAAACAATGCACTAGTCTCAATTTGTCTTCTTGTTAAACAGTCTCCTCTGGTACAGATAAACCACAAATCCTAATGGCTATTATTACTTCATCCTTCTTAAGGAAGAGCAGACCTCAGGTTCAATGCCAAGCCAAGAAGGGTCTAGTTCTTTACTTTATCAAGATGATATAAGCCCAGTGCTGTTGGCTCATGCCTGTAATTCTAGCTACTCAGGAGGCTGAGATCTGAGGATCATGGTTCAAAGCCAGCCAGAGCAGGAAAGCCTATGAGACTCATCTCCAATTAACCACCAGAAAACTGGAAGTGGCACTGTGGATCAAGTGGTAGAGCATTTGCCTTGAGCTGAAGAGCTCAGGGACAGTGCTGAGGCCCAGAGTTTAAGCCCCATGACCAACAAATAAATAAAAAATTTTTAAAGATGATATAAAGTATTAAAAGCACAAATTCTGGAGCCTTCCAGCTAGGAGTTCTAATCTGATCCCTGTACTTACTAGCTGCGTGTCCTCTGGCCAGCCACTCAACATCTCTGCAACTCAATCAGCTCATCAGTAGAATGGGTATAACACAGTACCTTACTATGGTAAGCTTTAAATCAATAAATGTGTATGTTCATACATGTTTAAGTGTTTGCCACAACCGAAAGCTTTACTATAATAGAGTTGGAGGGAAAATGTTATAAGCATAGACCCCAGTATCTCTCAGAACATGCCCTTCCTCCCCTCCACTGTCCTGAACCCACACCAGGTGTGGGCCTCCACCAGCAGGTAGCAGCTGCACCCACCTGCACACTTGGTGCGGCTAAGGAGTGGTGGTCCTGGGCGGCCTGTGCCACCGTCCCCTGGGCGAGTGAGCAGCACACTGATCTCATACTCGGTGTCGGGGTCCAGGTGCCACAGCTTGTAGGTCTGCAGGTTGACTGCGTGCACCTCGGCCCACGGGCCGCGCGTCATACGGTATTCGATCTCTTTGCGCACGATGGGCCCATCGCCGATGATGGAATTGGTGTTGAGCTGGATGATGAGGTAGGTGGGGCCCGCTCGCAGCAGCTGTGGGGGCGCGATGGGAGTCGGAGGCTCTGCCAGGAGATGGGGGGAGAAGTGAAGTCGATGGACACCAGTGCCACTATGAGATCCCAGGCCTCTAACTGCATCCCACCATATCTCCACCTTCAAAACCCCTCATAGTGTTCCCACACGCTCCACTGGACCTGCTCCAGGACTCTGAGCAGATCTCAGCGGCTAGACCAGACCCACCAATTCTGATAAATACCTAGAGCTTTATGCACCTAGCCCCACCCCTCCTTTGGCCACGCCCCTTTAGGGCTCAGACTCCGCCCCTGCCTGGCCCCGCCTCCGGCCACGCCCCTCCGCCAGTGCCAGAGCGCCGACCCTTAACGATGAGCTCTGCGAAGTTGGAGACACCTGCCCCGCGCGGGGCCTGGGACACGCAGCGGTAGAGGTCCTGCTCCGCACGGCCCACGCCTGCCAGCGGGAAAGTGGCCAGGAAGCGCCGGTGGCTGATATGTCGCACGCTGGCCGCAGGCACCAGAACCCCACTCTGCCTCTGCGGGAGAAGAGACGTGGCAGGGTCAGGCTGGGAAAGGCCTGCTGGGAACCCCGCAAAGTCAGAACATAGTCTAGGGAGTACCAGGACTCCTAAGACTCAGAGGCCTGAAAGGAAGCCAGTGCCTCGGAGACGCTACCGACACCGTCTCCAGCCTTGGCCAAGGTCTGCATCCTGCTCACCTGCAGGAAGAAGCGCTCGGCCTCAGCTGCCCGGCCTGCTGCCATGCACTGAAAGGATGCATTCTGTCCCGCGTTGACCTCCACATCACCCAGGCGGGAGAAGTGGGGGGCCTTTGCTGCAGAAAGAGACCTGGAGCATGAGCTGGGCCTGAGCAGTGAGCCCTCCATGCTCTACCCTCACCCCTCCACCCCCCAGTGGATTGGCTCTCACCGCAAGGGTAGCTGAGAAGCAGAATGTCATCTAGGCCCATGTAGCCCCTGCGATCTGGAGAAATGAGGGCCTCAAACAGTACCTGGAGGAGGGGGCCGGGGAAAGGTCCTTGTCACACCCATCTGGGCAGGCACCCACAAGAGCCCTCTTTCAGCTGGGTCAGGGTCCCAGAAAACAGAAATCAGCCCAACTCACACTGACCATCCCAACCAGCTGCTTCAGAGGTGAGGTCTCAACAAGATCAAGGCCAATGTCCATCCCTGGATAATGACCTTAAAACAGCTACACCCTTCCCAGTCAGATAGGTTTCTAGTTCACCCCTGAATCCAGCCATAGCTAGTAACAATGACCTCTGGTGCAGAACCTGAACTCACCCCAGTACAACCCACATCTTGACCACAGATTGACTCCTGACGCCCAGTACAGGCTAATTCCATAGTAGTCTGATGTCAAAGAGGCATCGCTCTGCCTTCACCCCCAACCACAAGCTGACCACAGCCCACCTGGTATTCATTGGGCCAGAAGGTACTGACAGCCAGCTCAGCCTGGTGCCACTGATGGCCATGGGATCCAGTCATATTCCAGACGGCACTGCCCAGGGGGCCCCCATTAACACGCACATAGACACCCAGGGTGCCTGGGCTGTGCCCATCCCGGCTGTACAGGAAGTAGCTGAACTGTACACAGTGGGTGTCATTCTCACTCAGGCTCTGGAAGATCACGTGGGCCCGCTGCCCAGGGGCATGCTGGGAAGCATTAACCATCAAATAGGCACCTGGAAAGAGAGGAAGAAGCAGGAACCCCGGAGACCTTAGGGGAGGCCAGGGTCAGGTGCACACAGAGAGGCAGAAATAACCCATCCCAGGCTTTTGAACCCACTAAGAATCAGGAATGTGGGACGCTCTGGTCCCAGCTAAGACACAGAGCTGTCTCTTCTTCCCTTCCCAGTGTCTGCTAGAGCAGCAGAAAACACCCAAACTCGATTTTGCCAAGCCCTGGTATGGTCCTTTAACCATCCACAGGCCTCAGCTGGAGCCTATACCCTGCCTAAGACAGTTTTTGAGATATCTGTGCCGTCCTTGGAGGCTGAGACTAACTAGGTCATTCATCTCAGGAGTGAAGAGCCTGACACCTGGCAGGCCCTCCCTCCACTGCTCCTGTGGGCTTCACTCCCGGCCCGGATCATTCAGAGTAGTGTGGGCTCTGTTGTGTCCCCCTCACAGGCACAGAATGCAAGCTCAATGAATATGTAGGACACGCCGAATGAAAGGATTAGCTTCCCTTTCAGCCTCCAACCCAGACTATAGATTCCAGGGACACAAAGATGCCTGATTTCCAACCTGCAAAAGGCAGCCCTGCCGCTTTCCTGGAGATCTGAGCTGTGTGCTAGGGGGAAGGAAGAGCAAAGAGATGGGGCCTGATTCCTCAGGATGTGCTTGGGGATTGTGGCTCCCCGCAACCCCACCCTCGCCTGGGGAGAAGGCCCCAGCAGCAGCCAAGAGGGTGCCCACAGCTACCCAGCACCTCCTCCCAGACTTGGCTGCCAGCCAACCCAGGCACATCCAGATCCGGGCTCCAGGAGGGCTCCCCAGGGACCCAACTGCAGACACTCATTCATCTCTGAGCCAGGAGCCCTGTGGAATTGTCTCATGGGTAGATCCTGGCAGGGAGGACAAGAGAACTCCAGGTAGCCAGCCCCACCCAGGACAGGCCCCATCTCCAGAGGGACATGGACTCTTGCTTGGAGCACTGCCTCTCTCTCCTCTCCCCATAACAGCTCCAACTCCAGCGTGATGCTGTGTTCCTGCCTCTTCCTCCTGGTCCCTCTGCCTCTCCCAGTCTCCCTGGCTTCAACTCTCCTCAGCTTTCATTTATTCCCTTTGTCTCTGTGATGAGTACCAATCTCCCTCCTTCCTTCCCTAGACTGAGCAAGGGGGGGGGGGGGGGGGGGGGAGGGAAGGTTGAAAAGAGGGGTTGTTTATACTCGCATCTGCCTCCTAGATCTAGCACCCTAGCCCCACCCTCGCACTCAATTCTACGCTTCTCTCCCTTTCTCACTGGATAGGTAGGTCTCTGCCTGCCTGAAAGAAGAGGGGAGACCACCAGGGGCAGGACTCCAGGAGTTAAACCCAAGTCAGCTCTCTTACGTCGGAATGTCAGTGTCAACTATATAGGAAGCTACAGCTTGGTCCTGGAAGCCTGCAGGGCCCCTGCACAGTGGGCACCTTCACAGATCACTCTCAGGCACAGCAGACACCAGCTGCGAGGGCAGAAGGAGGCAGATGGAGGCTAGGAGAGGCCACCTAGCCAGGCAGGCCCTGAGGGACCTGTTTCATACTGGCTTTAAGTCCTGCCTGTGACTGAAAACCTCGGCCTCCCTCCCCCACTCCTGCCTGTAGATGCCATCTCAGCCAGGCTGTGAGCAGAGCCAGGAAGGTCCCCACCCACCACTGTGATAGGGTAGAAGGGGGAGGCCTTTGGGCTGTCCATCCTGGAGTTCACTCAGAAAACCCCATTTTGGTTCTCATACTATGTCCTGAGACACAGGCCTTGTCAGAAATAAAGTGGATCATCTAGTCTCCATCTGCACCACTTTGAAGTAAAACTAACCTGACAAGTGCAATGAAGAGCCTAGAAAACTCACTTGCAGGATCATGAAAGGCATGACAGAGGTAGAAACCAAGGAGGCTCAGAGAGTTTGTGCACTATGTCCAAGGTCACACAGCAAGCAAGCAGAACCACTAGAGGACAGGGAAGGGGAATGCTGATGATAGTGTGCTCACCGTGGGGCAGGTCCGCAGAGGCCCGGGTGCCAGGGTGGATCCTCACTTGCTCCCACTGGAAGTCGTCATACTGGGCCTGGCTGTATTCGCAGGGCACCGCTGGGTCACTCACCTCCTCAAAGGTACAGCCAGCTGTAAGAACAAGGCCTGGTTAGCCCAGGCTGGGGCAGGGCCACTGACCAGGCAAATTCCTCTGGGGGCCTCCAGGTTCCCCCATTGTCAGACCCACACTCTTCTTGCTTCATCTCTCCTCTCCTCTCCTCAATGCTTCCTCCATGAACAAATGGCTTCCTCCTTTACCTCCTCCTCTTCTGAGGAAGTTCTCACTATCTCTTCCTAACACACAAGACCTCTCCACACTGCCTCCTGGCCCAGAATAACTCTAGGGGACAGACAGACAGACAGACACACACACACACACACACACACACACACACACACACACACCTAGCTAGCATTACTGCTCAATCATCAGACCCTCACAACCACACATAGGAGCAGATTTAGAATTATCCCCATTTCACTCATAAGCAAACTGAGGTCCAAAGAGGCCCAACCACTTTCTCAGCGTCACATAGTTGGAGTGGGGTTTGAACCAAGATCTCCTCCCTGCTCCTCAGTGTTTCTCCTCTCTACTGTGCCAGGCAGGAGCGGGGAGCGGGCATCGGGCCTGGCAGGGTCAGGAACACCCTTGTTCAACCTGACATATCTTTCAAAACAACAAGGGGCCAGCAACCATGTCATGCTTGCATGTTGCTAGGCAGTAAGTGCAGTTCCATGTACAGCTCATCCTCTGAGTCAGGTGCTCCTGTAATTGCTACCAGACAGACAGACAGATGTCCATAGGAACCCATAGCCAACCAAGTTGGCCCTCTGCTTACAGGACTGCACGTTACCAAGTACAGTTGTGCGGACTGTGTATACATACAACATGATTTGGAACCAACAGGAACCGCTTCAGTGAGAAGAGAAAGGAAGGACTGGAACAGATGAGACTCCTGCTGAGGTTTGTTGGGTTTTTTATTGGTGGGGGAAGGTTGGCTTTGAGCTGCAGTGTTGTTTTTAATTACCTCTAAGTAGTTATCCAAAGGGATTTCAACTAACAAATCTTGGTCAGTGCCACCCCTTTCCATCTTTCTCCCCATCTATTGGTTATTGATTTTTCACTAGCTCATCGATGCCCAATAATGATGAGTTATTAGTTGTTCCTAATAAATCTGAGAGCCACAGGTTCAGAAAGGAGCTGCAAGCCTGCCCTGCACTCACTCTCCAGCCACAAAGGAGCACCACAAGGCACTGAGACCCAAGCAAATGCCTGGGCAAGTGTCTAGGGAGCAGGCCCAATCATGCCAAGTCCTGCCCTGGGTCCCCGCCAGCCCCTAGTGCTTCTCCCACTTGACAGATGATATGACCAAGACTCAGCGTGATGGAAGCGCCGGGTTGTGGCATAGCGTGGACTTGAAATCAGATCTGGACTCTGCTGTTTGCTACCTCTAATGGCCATGGACAAGTCTCTTTCTCTTGCTGGCTCTCTTTCTTTCCCTCCCTTTCTCTCCCCTCCCCTCCTTTCTCTCTCCCCCCTCCCCCCACTTCTCATTTGTTGTACAGAGGTTTCAACGCAGGGCTTCATGCTTGTTCAACTTGTTTGCACACTGCTTGAGCTATACCTCCAGTCTGACTTTTTGCTGGTTAGTTGGAGAAAAGAGCCTCTCAGGCTTTCCTGACCAGGCTGGCTTCAAACCATGATCCTCAGATCTTAAACCTCCTAAGTAGCTGGTATTACAGATGTGAGCCACCAGCACCTGCCAAGCCACCTCTTTCTGAGCTTCAGCTTCCCCATCCAGGAGTAGAGGTGTTAGGATTCGGTGTGCTGGCTCACTAGCACAGCGCTGAACACAGCCAGGTTCAGCAGTTCTAACTGGGTGCCACTTGTACCTCGGTAAGGGACAGAGCCTAGATTTGAATATAGATAGGACACATTATTTAAAATCCACACCTCCTACCAGAAAGAAGAAAAGGAGCAAACGGAACTGCTTCTCAGCCTCTAGAAGAGAGGGAGGGGAGGAGACAGTGACCAGGACATGAATGGCCCTTGCAGGCAGGTAGTGAGTGACTTCCCTTTGAGGAAGTTCTGTCTGTGCCTGTGGTCACATGAAGGGATACCTAGAAACACAGCCAGTAGCCAAGCACAAAGAGGCTGGCCTGAACATTATTGGGGTCTCCTTTTCCTTACCCTGGACTCCACCCAAGTGTGAAAAGCTGAGATGTGAACATGAGGCTGCACCAAGGGGGTGGGATACAGTCACTGACCCTATGGACTCCTTCTTTGCCTCTTTATTCTAAAAGTTCCAGTCAGCACTGGACCTTATGGCCTGGGAGAGATGGGTTTTATGATAGAAAAAAAGACCCACAATGCACCTCAGAAAGAAGGCATCAAAAGAGAGGGTGGTCAGAGTGGGCTTCCTGGAGGAGGGGAAGAGCTCACTTTAGCTTCTCAGACAATCATTAAGGCAGAGAGACAACTGGAAAGGAAAGTCTAAGATCTAGAGTCCTGGATGGGGTTCAGGCCTTTCCTGTTCCTTCAAAAGTAACAAAAGCCACAGTCAAGCACCTGTGGTTCTTAGGTGTAATCCTAGCTAATGAGGAGGCTGAGATCTGAGGACTGTGGTTTGAAGCCAGCCTGAGCAGAAAATTCTGTTAGTCTCATCTCCAATTAAACAAAAAAAGCCAGAAATGTAACTGTGGCTCAAGTGGTAAAGTGCTATCCATGAGCACAAAAGCCCAAGGGCAGCACCCAGACCCTGAGTTCAAGCCCTAGGACCATAATGAAATAAAATAACAAAGCCACTATCCCAGGAACCCTTGCCGGGACTCTGGTTGGCCTGGAGTTGCCAGCTCCTTAGCTTCTTCTTGTCCATCCTGAACCAGGCATCTGGCCTGATACAACTCCCAATCCTTCTCAACTGACAGCCAGACTGATGGCTCTGCTTGGAACAACCCTAGACCATCTCTTCTCTCAGAGTAACCTCCAGATTGACCCCCAGACAGACTGACCTCAGCCAAAGTGACTCCTAGTTGATTTTCCTGGCTACAGTGACCTCAGTCTCACCCAGAGGACCCTAAAATGACCTCCCCCAAAATGGCCACCAGATGACCTTGAACAGAGAGACACTTTGTCCACTAAATGACCCCTATATCTGACCACAGCCCAGGAGACCAGACAGGCTGATTGACCCCATCAACAGTGACCAATAGCCAAAACATTCTTCCTGACCTATGACTCTCCTATCTCTGGGTCTGAGGCTATCTCCAACCCCCTAAGGAGAGCTCAGCCCCTACCTGCTCTCCAGCTCCCACAGGGGTGGGAATAGTCTGCTCTGGGGAGAGAGTCTAGGTGGCTCAGGGGCTAGGAGTCCCAAAGCCAAGTTCCAGTCCAAATCTTGCTGGAGGTTGCAAGTTTGGGAAGAACTAAATCTGATGTAGGGTTCAGAGACAGGGTAGCATCCTGGAATCCCCCTGAACCACATGGGCGCTGACGTGCATGCACCAACACTACCACCAGGGGGCGCCAACTACCACCCTGATGTCTTGTGGGCAGATAACTTCAGCAAATTCGTGACTATTATTTCTATTTTGCAGCTGGAAACCGACTCAGATACATGCAGCTGCTTGCCCAAAGCCACACAGCTTCAGTGTGCTGAATCTCAGATTTACACCACTTGTCTTGATCCCAGGAGACTAGGCACTAACAAAATAAAGCCTTGATATACTGTTGGTCTTGTGTTTTAATTCCATTTTCATGCTCGCAGTTTCCTTCCAGACTGGCATTGTTAGAGGCACAGAGATAATTAAGACTCCCCCTTGCCCTCAGGGACCTCCCAGTCTGAGGGAAGGAGAGGAAATGAAACATAGTAGGGAAGAAAGAGGCAAGGATATAAAGGGAGGGAGAAGGGAGGGAGGCTGCAAAGACAAGTAGGGGAGGGTGGGTGGAATGAGGAGGGTTCCTGCAGGAGGCTGCATCTGGACTGAGCCTTCGGGGCTCCCACCAGTAGAGGCATCTGAGGCAGAGGGCAGCCAGAGCAAAAGAAGGCAGTGAAGAGCCAGACTGGCTGAAGCACTGGGGAAATGGAGGGGGTAGAGGCTCAGGCCCAATCATGGAGGGGTTTTGGTGCCTCATTTTGAATTTGGGGCCACAGTAAGTGTCTGAGCAGGGGAGTGCCTGGGCTCTGATGAGGGACACATCCTAGAAGCCATGGTTAGGGCCTAAGTGCAAGAGAATCAGAAGGAAGCTGGGGACCATGCCACCAAGGAGTCTGGAGTCAAATGTCAGGACTTGCAAGGAAATAAGGAAAGGGACCTCAAGTCCCCATCCTGGAAAAATATATTCCTCTCACACTCAGAGAAAAGTACAACACACACACACACACACACACACACACACACACACACACATACAAATGAGCACACATACACACATACTCCCTGTCCCCAGCCTAATCCAAGCCTTGGGAACACAGTCTAAATAAGGCTGAAAAGAAGGGAGAGACGGGGCCTCTCCTTGGATCCCCATCTCTGTGGAGGTCTCCCTGAGAGCATGGGCTAAATCAACCCAGGACCCCAGTGCTCCCCCCAGCCCCAGCTCAAACTGGCCCAGCCACATTCCTCAGCTAATCTGCCCAATCTGGCCCAGGCGGTTGCCAGGACAACCGTCAGCCACAATTTGGTAAAGGGTAGGGGGATAGTTTGTCCGTACCGCTGAGCTCAGGACAGGATGAGGGGTGATGTTGGGGACAGCAATCTCTGGAGGAGCGCCAGAGGGGATCTGTTTCCATAAGGGAGGGGAGCATGTATATACTGGCATCGGTGGCCTAAGCGTGACAGGACACTGTCCTTGAAGCAGGAGACCCAGCTTTGATTCCCGCTGCTCCCTAAGTCCCTGTGTGACCTGGGAGAGGTGACTTGCCCTCTCAGAGCTGCTATCTCCTTAGCAATAAAATAAGAATCGCTGGAGGTGGCAGAGGTGCTGGGGAGAGGTGGACATGGTGTGGGTGTCCCAGGAGGGGAGTGGATTACACGTGGGAATAGAGTATATGCGCATCCTCTGTGAGGAGCATGGGCCTAAGCGGGAGGTG